GTGGGAGGGAGGTAAAGGGTTAAAAATGAGGGGAAAAATGGGGGTTTGGAGTCACTGGTTTGTACTGGTTTGGGACTGGGAGGTGAGAAATGGGTGGGGCTTGGAGCAAGTGGGTGGAGCTAAGAGGGAGTGGGCGGGGCTTAGACGGCATGGGTGGGGCTGGAAGTGGGTAAGGGTTAGAAGGAATGGGTGGGGCTTAAGTTGAGTGGGTGGAGCTTAAGAGTGTGGAGGAAGTGGGTGGGGCTTAGGTGAAGGGGGTGTGGCTCAAATGGGGTGTGACTTATAGGGAATAGGTGTGGCTTAAAGGGGTGTGGCTTAGAGAGTGGGTGTGGCTTAGAGGAAGGGGTGTGTCTTAGAGAAAGGGGTGTGGCTTAGAGGGAGTAGGTGTGGCTTAGAGGAAGGGGTGCGGCTTAGAGGGAGTAGGTGTGGCTTAGATGAAGGGGTGTGGCTTAGACAGTGGGTGTGGCTTAGAGGAAGGGGTGTGGCTTAGACAGAATAGGTGTGGCTTAGAGGAAGGGGTGTGGCTTAGAGGGAGTAGGTGTGGCTTAGAGGAAGGGGTGTGGCTTAGAGAGTGGGTGTGGCTTACAGTAAATGAATGGGGCTTTGAAAAGAATGGGTGTGGCCTAAGGGAGTGGGCGTGGCTTAGAGGCAGTGGGTAGGGCTTTAAATCGAGTGGGCGTGGCTTGGACAGAGTGGGTGGGGCTTAAAGCAAGCAGGTGGGTGCAGTTTGGGGGCATGGGCGTGGCTTAGGATGGGTGGGTGTGGCTTGCAGTAAATGAGCAGGGCTTTAAAAAGTGGGTGGGGTTTAGAGTGAATGGGTGGGGCTTAGAAGTACACATGCCTTAAAAGGAGTGGGCGTGGCTTAGAGGTACTGGGTGTGGCTTACAGGAAGTGGGTGGGGCTTAGAGAGAGGGTGGGGCTTAGCATGAATGGGTGGAGCTTATAGGAAGTGGGTGGGGCTTAGAGTGAGAGAATTTTTAAGGAGTGGGAGGGGCTTGGAGCAAGTGGGTGGAGCTTCATGTGGGTGGGGTTACAGGGTGGGTGTGGCTTCAGATGGAGTGGGAGGAGCTTATAGGTAGAGGGAGGGGCATACAGAGAGGGGGCGGGGCTTCTGCATAGTGGGAGTGGCTTTGAGGAGGAGTGGGCGTGGCTTTAAGGATGGTGGGAGTGGCTATGGGGAAGGGGGCGTGGCTTAGAGACAGTGGGTGGTGTTACGGAGAGTGGGCGGGGTTTCATCAGCAAACAAATCAATTTTTTTAAAAAAAGGGGATTTTTGGGGGGGAAAAAAGAAATTTTTGGGATTGCAAAGTGATTTTTGAGATTCCCAGGTGAAGTTTGATGCTGATAAAAGACAATTTTGGGTCAAAAAATATCAAATTTTGGGAAAAAACCCACAAATTTCTTTGGGAAAATTGAAATTTTCATGGAAAACTAGAATTTTTTTGGGAAATTAAGGTAATTTTTGGAATTTTTTTTGGGAATTCTCACTTGGATGGCTCCCAGGGAGGATTTAAAATGGGGTTGGAGGGAGATAAAAGAGGATTTTTGGGGAAAAAAATGGGAACTTTGAGGAAAAAAGGGAGATTTTTGGATAAAAAAATGAGTGTTTTAGGAAAAAAATCGGAGTTTTGGAGGGAAATGGGATTTTTTTGAGAAAAAAGGGAATTTTGGGATTTTCAGGTAGCCCTAGGTCAGATTTGGGGTTCTGAGGGGAAATTTTCGGGGGAAAAAAATCAAATCTGGTGCCAAAAATTGTGATTTTTTTGGTAGGAAAAACAGAGATTTTTGAAAAAAAAAAAAAGGAATTTTTGGAAGAAAGGGAAATTTGGGATTTCCAGGTGTGCTCAGGTGAATTTTGGGGAGAAAATAAACAGATTTTGGGCAAAAAAAAAATCAGATTTTAGTAAAAAATGCATGATTTTTTTAGAAAAAAATTAAAATTTGGCGGGGGAAAGAATGATTTATTTTGGGGAAAAAAGGAATTTTAGGATTCCCAAGAATATTTTCAGATTCTCAAGTAATTTTTGGGATATTTCATGATGACAAAAGCTGATTTTTTGGGTTAAAAAATCGGGGTTTTTGGCAAAAAAAAGCGGGAAAATTGAATTTTTTTTGGGAAAATGGAAATTTTTTTGGGGAATAAAGGGAATTTTGGGATATTTTTTTTGGGAATTCTGACCTGGATGGCTCCCACGGTGGATTTGAAGACGGGGTTGCCAAACCTGACCGCCCTCCAGTGCCGGGGCGGGCGGGGGCTGAGCAGGTTGCGGCCGTACTTTTCCAGAATGTTCAGCGCCGTCCTCAGCTGCTCCAGGCCGCGGGGGAGACCCTCGGGGTTCTGGGAAAAAGGGAAAATTTTGGGATTTAGGGGGAGGCCAAAAAAAATTTGGGGAAAATCGGTGGAAGTTTGGGGAAAATGCGTCGGAAAATGGGGGAAGTGCGGGGTAAAATTGGTAAAAAATGCAGGGAAAAAGAATAAAAAATCCCAAAATATCTCCCAAAAAATCACCTTAAAAAATGTCCAAAGCCCTCAAGCATCGCTAAAACTGCCAAAAAAATAATAAAAAACTTTCAAAAATGTCCCCCAAAATCAGTAAAAATTCAGCAAAAAAAAAGCCAAAAAAAGGCAAAAAACCAGAAAAAAATCTCATTAAAATCCATTTCACCCAAAAAATCCCCAAAATTTGCCAAAATAAATTCCTAAAATTCACCCAAAATGCCCAATAATCACCAAAAAAATGCCAAAAAATCTCCCTAAAAATTCCCAAAATTCACCCCAAAAATGCCCCTAAAATTCCCCAAAATTCACCCAAAAATGTCCCCAAAAATCCCTATTAAAACCCTTCAAAAATCATCAAGAATCCCTAAAAATTCCCCCAAAAATTTAAAAAATTTTAAAAAGTCCTCCCCAAAATCAGTAAAAATTCAGCAAAAAAAAAGCCAAAAAAAGGCAAAAAACCACAAAAAAATCTCATTAAAATCCAAGTTTAGGGAAATCCCCAAAAATCTGGGGAAAATGCATGAGAAAATGGGGGAAATGCGGGGTAAAGTTGGTAAAAATGCAGGAAAAAAACTCCAAAAAATCCAAAAAAATCACCTAAAAACAACAAAAATTCACCTAAAAAATGTCTAAAATTCACCCAAAAAATCCCCAAAATTTGCCAAAATAAATTCCTAAAATTCACCCAAAAATGCCCAATAATCACCAAAAAAATGCCAAAAAATCTCCCTAAAAATTCCCAAAATTCACCCCAAAAATGCCCCTAAAATTCCCCAAAATTCACCCAAAAATGTCCCCAAAAATCCCTATTAAAACCCTTCAAAAATCATCAAGAATCCCTAAAAATTCCCCCAAAAATTTAAAAAATTTTAAAAAGTCCTCCCCAAAATCAGTAAAAATTCAGCAAAAAAAGCCAAAAAAAGCCAAAAAAATCACCAAAAAAACCTCATTAAAATATAAATTTAGGGAAATCCCCAAAAATCTGGGGAAAATGCATTGGAAAATGGGGGAAATGTGGAATAAAACTGGTAAAAATGCAGGAAAAAAATGCAAAAAAAATCACCCAAAAATCCTCAAATTCACTGGAAAAATTCCTAAAATTCACCCAAAAAATGCCCAAAATTCACCAAAAAAATTCCTAAAATTCCCCCAAAAAATCACCCAAAAGTCCCCACACCCCAAAAATGCCCCTAAAATTCCCCAAAATTCACCCACCAGCCCTGCTAAAAATCCCTATTAAAACCCTTCAAAAATCATCAAGAATCCCTAAAAATTCCCCCAAAAATTTAAAAAATTTTAAAAAGTCCTCCCCAAAATCAGTAAAAATTCAGCAAAAAAAGCCAAAAAAAGCCAAAAAAATCACCAAAAAAACCTCATTAAAATATAAATTTAGGGAAATCCCCAAAAATCTGGGGAAAATGCATTGGAAAATGGGGGAAATGTGGAATAAAATTGGTAAAAATGCAGGAAAAAAATGCAAAAAAAAATCACCAAAAAATCCTCAAAATTCACTGGAAAAATTCCCAAAATTCACCCAAAAAATGCCCAAAATTCACCAAAAAAATTCCTAAAATTCCCCCAAAAAATCACCCAAAAGTCCCCACAAAAAATCCCATAATCCTTCTTAAAAAAATCGCAAAGAAATCCCTCAAAAACCCTAAAAAATCAGCAAAAAAATTTAAAAAAAATCATTTAGAAATCAACAAAAAAACACAAAAACACTATTTTAGAATTCTCATAAAACTGTCAAAAATATCCCAGAAAATCCCTAAAAACATCCCCAAAAATCACCAAAAAACCACCCCAGAACTCTTTAAAAAATTGAAAAAACTATAAAATGCCTATTAAAAAATTACTTTAAAATGCTGTAGAACCACCAAAAAATGCCAAAAATTCCTACTAAAAAAGTCATTTAAGGTCACCCAAAAATCACATAAATCCCCAAAAACTTCCCCTTAAAAATCCCATAAAACCATCCAAAAATCCTGATAAAATCCTGTAAAACCTTTGAAAAATCACCTAAAAATCACTCAAAACCCCCCGCAAAAAAATCCTAAAAATCCCAAAAAACATCCCCAAAAAAGCCCAAAAAATCCCCAAAAAAGCCCAAAAAATCCCTCAAAAAATCACAAAAAATCCATAAAAATGATTTCTAAGTCATAGTAAAGTAACAAAAGACTAACAAAAAAAAACCCATAAAAATGTCCCAAAAATCCTCAAAAAATCCCCAAAAAATCCAATAAAACCCACAAAAAAATCTCAAAAAAATCCCTAAAAAATCCCCCCCAAATCCCATTAAAAATCCCATTAAAAATCCCATAAAACCTTTAAAAATCCCAATAAAAATGTGATTTTCTCACCCACTCCAGGTTGTCCCTGAGGATCCGGCTCCCCTGCAGGTGTTTGAAAAAATCACAAAAAATCCATAAAAATGATTTCTCAGTCATAGTAAAGTAACAAAAGACTAACAAAAAAAACCCACTAAAATGTCCCAAAAATCCTCAAAAAATCCCTGAAAAATCCCATAAAACTCACAAAAAAATCTCCAAAAAATCCCTAAAAAATCCCCCCCAAATTATATTAAAAACCCCATTAAAAATCCCATAAAACTCACAAAAAAATCTCCAAAAAATCCCTAAAAAATCCCCCCCAAATTATATTAAAAACCCCATTAAAAATCCCATAAAACTCACAAAAAAATCTCCAATCACTCAAAACCCCCCGCAAAAAAATCCTAAAAATCCCAAAAAAATCCCAAAAAATCCCTCAAAAAATCACAAAAAATCCATAAAAATGATTTCTAAGTCATAGTAAAGTAACAAAAGACTAACAAAAAAAAACCCATAAAAATGTCCCAAAAATCCTCAAAAAATCCCCAAAAAATCCAATAAAACCCACAAAAAAATCTCAAAAAAATCCCTAAAAAATCCCCCCCAAATCCCATTAAAAATCCCATTAAAAATCCCATAAAACCTTTAAAAATCCCAATAAAAATGTGATTTTCTCACCCACTCCAGGTTGTCCCTGAGGATCCGGCTCCCCTGCAGGTGTTTGAGTTTCCGGCTCGGGGGCAGCGGCAGCCGCAGCACCGGGCCCAGCTCGGGGGGCTCGGCCTCAGCCGGGCACCTCAGCAGGGCCCCCTCCAGGGCAGCCCGCAGGTCCTGAGGGGAAAAACGGAGAAAAAATGGGAATTTTGGGAAAATTCGGGAATTTTGGGGGGTTTTGGGGGGATTTTGGGGGGTTTTTAGGCGGTTTTGTGGGGCTCGGCCTCAGCTGGGCACCACAGCAGCGCCTACTCCAGGGAAGACTGCAGATCCTGAGGGGAAAAAATGGGAATTTTTGGGAAAAAATGGCAAATTTGGGAAAATTTATGGAATTTTGGGGATTTGGGAAAAAATCCGGGGGTTTTGGGGGAATTTTGGGGTTTTTTTAGGATGTTTTTGAGGGGTTTTGGGGGGCTTGGCCTCAGCCGGGCAGCACAGCAGGGTCCCCTCCAGGGCAGCCTGCAGCTCTTGAGGGGAAAAAAGAATTTTGAGGGAAAAAAATGGAAATTTTAGGAAAATTCAGAGCATTTTGGTGAAATTCGGGAATATTGAGGGAGAAAAAAGGAAATCTTGGGGATTTTATTTGGATTTTGGGGGTTTTTTAGGGTGTTTTTGAGGAGTTTTGGGGGGCTCAGCCTCAGCTGGGCAGTGCAGCAGGGCCCCCTCCAGGGCAGCCCTCAGCTCCTGAAGGGAAAACAGGAATTGTAGGAGAAAATTTAGGAACTTTGGGAAAATTTATGGAATTTTGGAGAGTTGGGGAAAAAATCTGGGAGTGTTGGAGGGATTTGGGGTTGTTTTTAGGGCGTTTTTGAGGGGTTTTGGTCAGCTTGGCCTCTTGAGGGGTTTTGGGGGGGCTCGGCCTCAGCCGGGCAGTGCAGCAGGGTCCCCTACAGGGCAGCCCACAGCTCCTGAGGGGAAAAAATGGGAATTTTGAGGGAAAAAAACCGCAAATTTTATGATAATTTAGGGAATTTTGGTGAAATTCAGGAATATTGGGGGGAAAACAGGAAATTTTATTTGGATTTTGGTGGTTTTTTATGGCGCTTTTGGGGGGTTTTGGGGGTCTCAGCCTCAGCCGGTCTCCTCCAGGGCAGCCCTCAGATCCTGAGGGGCAAAAGGGGAAGAAATGAGAATTTTAGGGGAAAATTCAGGAATTTTAGGAAACTTTATGGAATTTTGGGGATTTGGGAAAAATCCAGGGGTTTGGGGGGGATTTTTGGGGACTTCTGGAGTGAGTTTAAAGGGATTTGGTATTTTTGGGGGAGATTCTGGGCAATTTTAGAAAATTTGGGGGTTTTGGGAGTGATTTGATGGAATTTTGGAGGGATTTTGTGAATTTTTTGGGGATTTCTGCAGATTTTTAGGTGAATTTGGAATGATTTTGTTGGATTTTTGTGGGGTTTTGGGAGGATTTGAGGAATTTTGGGGGAATTTTGTTGGGGGATCTTTTGGGAAGGAATTTTTGGGGATTTTGTGGGGAATTCTGGCTGGATTGGATTTGGGGAAAATTTGGAACAAATTTTGAGGCATTTTTTTGTGTTTGAGGAGGGATTTGGGAGGATTAAGAGAATTTGATGGAGAAATTTGGGGGATTTGGGGAAAAATTGGGGGTCTGGAAGGGATTTGGGGGAATTTTGGGGAATATTTGTGGGAATTCTGGGGGATTTTGGGGAGGATTTGGGGAGATTTTGGGGTTTGAGGGGGGCTCACCTGGAGAGACCCCAAATCTGGGGCATCTTTGGGAAGGTCTGGCATCACCTGGGGAGGGAAAAGAGAAAATTTGGGGATATTTTCAGGAATTTTGGGGCTTTTGAATGTATTTTGAGGGGGTTTGAGCTAAATTTGGGCAATTTCAGGGGTATTTTGGGGGTTTTCTTGGCCTCTTTGAACCCCCAAATTTGCAGGGTTTGGATCACCTAAAAAACCCCAAATCTGGGGAAATTTGGTGGTTTTTTTTTAACACCGAATTTTGGGGGTGTTTCGACCGTCTGGGGTTTATTAACACGCCAAAATTTGGGAGGATTCTGGAAGAGTTTTGGGGGTCTTCCAGTCTCGCCAGCTCCCCCAGATTTAGGGCGGGTATTGGACTCCTTAACCCCCAAATTCGGGAGGATTTTGGAGGATTTTTCAGACCTTTTCCAATCCCTTTCGATGCATCTCGAATACGATCCTGGGGGCCCCAAATTCGGGGGAATTTTTGGGGGGGGTCTCTAGATGAGTTTGAGGGTGTGATGCCCCTTAAATTCCCAAAGTTTGGGAGAATTTTTGGGGTGTGTTTAGGGGTTTTGGGGGCATTTTCGGCCTCCCTAATTAGAGGCGGGATCTCCCCCCGCGTCGTTACCTCAGGGAGCGGCGGCGGATCCAAGATGGCGGCGCGTCCTGAGGGGGAAAGTGGGCGTGGCTTCCCCTTCTGTGACGTCACTCCCTCACATCTGCCCTTACGAAACATGGCGTTTCTGGCTCGTCTTCTCTTACGGCGCATGTGCCAGTTCAAGCCTCGCTTCTATTGGTGGCTTTTATTCCCGCCTCTCCCTCTTGGCCACGCCTCAGTCAGGGCTACCCTCACTCAAAATGGCGCTTCTTACCTTAATCAATAAAGCGCAAGCGCATCTTTCCGCTGACCAATCAGCAGCCGCGATTTTGGCGGGCACTCCCCCTCAGCGCTTAAGCCCCGCCCTTCTCCCTGCTCCCCTCAGGCCGCCATGATGGCGGCGGCGACCCCGCGGCTGCGGCCGCTGCTGCGCGCCCTGAGGGCTCAGGTGAGCCAGAAAGGGTTTTTTAACTTTTTCCCCCCTTTTTTGCCTTTTTCTGGGGGAGGTTATGTCGTCAAAGTGAGTGTTTAGATGTTATAAAGGCACAAAATGTTTTTTTTCCGCAGAGGTTGCGGGGTCCCGTGTGGTGCTGCGGAGCCCCGGCCGTGAGGGGGGTGGCGAGCGGCGCAGAGCAGGTGAGGCGAGAAAATTTGGGGGTGATTTGAGGGGAAAATTGGGATTTTTAGGGAAAATTTGAGGGAAATTTGAGGGCTTTTGGGGGAGATTTGGGGTTTTGGTGGGGAAATCTGAGGGGAATCTGGGAGTAATTGGGGAAATGTGGGGGTTTTGGGGGACTGTGAGGAAAATTTAGGGGTTTTGGGCGTAAATTTTTGGGAAAATATGAGGGACCTTCGGGTTGTGGGGGGTTTGAGGGGAAATTTGAGATAAATTTAGAGATTTTTGGGGAAATTCAGGAATTTTGGGGAGGAAATTTGGAGGTTTGGGGAGGTAATTTTGGGGAAAATCTGAGAGAAATTTGGAAGTTTGGGGAGAAATTCGGGAGTTTGGAGGGAAATTTGGGGGAAACTCTGTGGGTTTTGGGGGAAATTTTAGAGAAATCTGGGTGTAATGGGGGAAATTGGGGGCAGTATGGGGGAAACATGGGGATTTTTGGGGAAAATTTGATATAAATTTGGGCAATTCTAGGGAAATTTGGGGGTTTGGGGGGAAAATTGAGGGAAATTTGGGGATTTTTGAAATAAACTTGGGGAAAATTTGGGGATTTTGGCAGAAATTCAGGAAAAAATTGGGGGTCTTGAGTCAGATTTTGGGGTTTTTGTTTAAATTTTGGGGTTTTGATTAAAGTGAAGTTTTAGGGGTTAAGTTTGAGTGGGGCTTATGTCAATTTTGGGTGGTTGTGGACAAATTGAGTGAGTTTGGGGTCAAATTTTGGGTTTTTTTGGTTAAATTTTGGATATTTTGGTTTAAGTATTGGGGATTTTGATGAAATTGGGGGGTTTGAGGTCAATTTCTTGAGATTTTGTGCGAAAATTTTTTAGGTTTTGATTAATTTAAGAGGTTTACACTTCAAATATTGGAGGTTTTGGTGTCAGATTTTACATTTTTGGGGTCAATTTTTTGGGTTTTGGGTCAAATTTCAGGGGTTTTGGTAAAAATGAGGAAGTTTGCTAAATTTTGAGGGTTGTGCTTCAAATTTTGGGGTTTTTTGGTTCAGATTTTGGGTAAATTTTGGATTTTTTTTTGTTCAACAGGGTGAGTTTTGGGTCAAATTTTGTGGATTTTGGGTCAATTTTTTTGAGTTTTGGATCAAATTTTAGGTGGTTTGTTTAAAACGAGGGAGATTGGGTCAAGTTTTGGGGTGGTTTTGGTCAAATTTTGGTTATCTTAGGTTAAATTTTGGGGATTTCTAATCAAATCAGGGGTTTCTGGTCAAATATTTGGTTTTTTGATTCAATTTTCTGTGTTTTGGTTCAAATTTTCGGGGTTTTGATTAAATTGTTTTATTTTTCTGGGTTGGGTTGGGGTCAATTTTTGGGGTTTTGGTTAAGTGGAGTTTTAAGGACAAATTTTGATTTTTGGGGGGTCAAATTTTGCCTTTTTTGGCTCAAATTTCAAATTTTTCTCTTTTTACCCCCCCCTTAGCTCCCTCCCCCAACCCCT